TATTTCATTCCATTAATGCTTCTCACTGTCAAAATGTATTTTTTATTCTTTCTCTTGCCTAATCTCTCCCCATCCCACAGCCGTGTATGTCCCTTGAGGGCAGGGACCCTATTGTCTGATGATAGATCTGCAAGATCAAACTGGGTGTGTAGCATGGTCAATAGAAGCATTCAATAGAATATTGTTTAACTAATTCACTAGTAAGTAAAATTGTATAATACTCTCTCCTGGACTGTATATAGGAGACAATAAAAGGAGGCCTTTGAAAATGGCACAGGTCTCTAGCTCAGGAACTTGGGTACAGGAAAGTCTCATTAGTCAAAATCAAGAACTCAGGACGCAGAGCAGATTATGGCTAGAGAAGTGGGTGTGTGAGAAGATAGTGTACAATGTTGACACACGGAGTGGGAAGCCCTGTGGGTATTTATACTCAGTAGATAGCTGAAAATGTGGACCTGAGAAAAGCCTTAATTAGATTCAGACTTAGAGGCCTTTGGTTTTGAGGTGGGAGATGGAGTCATAAACATAGATGAGATCTTGAAGAGAAATTATTCAGAGAAAGAAAGACTCAATCAAAATGGAAGGAAAAGAAGCCAAATTCATTATGTGGTAGGAAGATAAAATCATTCCTCTCCAAATACAAGTAGCATTTAAAGACTTCTTGGGTTTACTTGTGTGAGAAGTTACAGAACTCCTAAAAAATTAGTGACTTCTTGAATAAAAAGTTTTCATTGTATTGTAATTTTACATCTGATTATATTGTGAATTATACATTTTCCATCTGATGTGACAATATGCTAACAATGATATTTCTCTCCTGACTGTGTGCCCGGTGCCCACAGTCACCATGGTAAATCAGAACACTTCCTGTAACTGAGGTTTGAGTAACAGAAGCAGTATTATAAGGAGCATTAACCAAAACATAGTATTTTACTTATGTACACACCTCACACCCACATGGATTCAGGCATAAGCAATGTGTTTTGAATTCATCATTAGATCATTTATTTTCAGATAATTTCATGTTGTCTCATGCATATTCCCTTTAAACTTTAATTTCACATTAATATAAAAGCATTTCACTCAGTGATTCAGGCACCACCATTTTGGTGGCTTTTCTAATTACCTTAGTTTGACTATTTCATAATATACTTGAAACATCGAAATGGATGGGTCATTTTTATACCCAGTTTAAATTAAATTATAATAACCTAAGAGCTCTTATTCCAAGATGTAGGAATTAAGATCTCAATTATTTGGCTTCTTCAAGATACACAATTCTGATGGAATCACATTTACTATGTGACATCAGAAGTAGCTGTGAAGGATTCCATCTGCAGACAGACCCTGGGCGGCTGTCCTTCATTCTGCTCAGCCAGCCAGGCTGGCATACCTGTTTCTGACTTTGAAATCATCTATGACTACCTCCCAGCATCAGTGGTGAAACAGCATCATTATTCAACTTTCACTACTTACTCAAAAAGAAATGTGAAAGGATGAAAATTATCTGCCATGGTGTAGCTGCAGGAGTAAGGGGGCTCCCCTACTGGGACAAATTCCCTGTGAATCCAGTGAAACTGAAGGAGGATAAGGGGAAGGCATGTTGGGAGAGTTTGTTGATTTATTTATATTTTGGTATCATAAATGTACAATTACATGAACAACATTATGGTTACTAGAAACATTACGGTTACCAAGTCCCTCCACACACCCCATTACAGTCACTGTCCATCAGCGTAGTAAGATGCTACAGAATCACTACTTGTCTGGGAGAGTTTTATTTCTTACAACTTGCTTGAGGTTGCCAGCCAGCCCGGCGCCACTGGTCTCCCCCCGCCGGCCCTCATCCCCTCCTTGCTGCCCTTGCGGGGAGGCTCTGTGTGAGGGGCCATGTGACTGGCGGGCACCAGACCAACCAGGTACCAGGCACGGAGGGGAGGGGAGAATGGCTGTTTCCTCTCCCCGCTGCCCCAACCCAACTGTCAGGCTCTGTGCTGTGAACACCCACTGATACATAAATGTCTAAGGCCAAGCAGGAGATCCTGGAAATTCTGCCAGTCACCCCACATATGGCCAGGTTTTATTTTAAACTTTAATTGTAATTTTAATATCTCTATTTCCCAACTGAGCCTAATTTTCTAAAGTCAGTAGTGAAAACTCTCAGAACCAAGATTTTGCTTAACTGACACCTGGAGTAAATAAATAGTATCCAAGAGGTACTTCTAAAGTACTTGGCCTGAGACTTTTTTTAAATTAAAGTATGGTTGATATACATTCTTATATTGGTTTCAAGTGCACAACACAGTGCTTCAACAGATACCACATTATTAAATGCTCACCCCCACTAGTGCGGTTACTATCTGTCAACGTAGAAGATGTTACAGAATCACTGACTATGTTCTCCGTGCTGCACTTCCATCCCCATGGCTATCTTGTATTATGATTGAGATTTTGTGCCTCTTTATCCCCCTCACCCTCCCCACCCACCCACTCCAACCCCTCCCCATCGTAACGACCACACACTTCTCAGTGTCTGTGAGTCTACTGCTGTTTTATTCATTTTGTTTTGTTTTGCATTTATATTCCACAAATAAGTAAAATCATACGGTATTTGTCTTTCTCTGCCTGCTTATTTCAATTAGCATAATACCCTCCAGATCCATCCATGTTGTTGCAAATGGCAGGATTTCTTTTTTATGGCTGAATAGTATTCCATTGTATATATGTACCATTTCTTCTTTATCCAGTCATCTATTGATAGACACAGTGATTGATTTATGATTATGTAGCCATTTTTGAGAATGTGCCCCATCATAATTTAACAAATTGTAGCCTAATCTTGAACTCTGGCAAAACTTATATCCACAGAAATGAAAAGGAAGTCCATTTGTGTATCTTAATTTATCTTTTAATGTGGCACACATTTTATTTGAACTAAAAAGTCAAAATATTAATCCTATAAGTTTATCTTAGCAGTAACAAATAATATTTACATATTAAATGTAACAAAATATGAAGTCTTATTATCAGACTAGAATTGTTAACTACCAAAACCAATTAAATCCTTTATAAAGCCCTTTATGTGTCATAGATTTGATTCCATTGTAGATACAATAATGCACCTCTTTCCACTGCCCAGAATAAGACTCTAGATAGCTATTAAGCAGGCATTAGCCTTAGTCCCACATCCCTATATCACTGAGATTTTTATGTAATAGTTAACAGTCAACTGCTCTAAAAAAAAATCTAATTGGCTTCCCTTGTGCTTCTCAAAGTTTAATGCTAAAATTATTTGTTCTAAATTTTGACTCAATTGTTATATTTATTCTGAATTTTGATTATAGCTATAATATATTATAGCTAAAGATTCTAGCATAGCTCTCATGTTTAGACTTGCTTTGAGGGAAGTTTCTCACTGTTAGGATGTAATTGTGTTGGCACTCTCTAGCCTTCCTGCCTTGAGTCAGGTATTTGGTCCAGGGTCTTTTGATACATAGCAATCTGAGGACTGAAGTACCAATTTACGTACTATTGAAGTCTTTGCTCTTGCCTAGGATATCTTTACTTTGTATTTGTTTTTCTTGCATTTTTTTCATAAAGATAATTTTATACAGGAGAAGAGATACAAGAATTTCAAATAAATAGGCCCTGCTTCTTTTGTTTAGGGAGAAAAAAATATTTTGTTAATCTGGAATTTAGGTTAGTAAGGATGTGAGAGAGGAAAATACCATCTTTTCTCCTCCTCTAACAGCTGTATCTAAGCCTGCTTTATCTACTTATCACTTTCTGATTTCTCACAGAAATTTTTTAAAAATAGGAGTAATACTGCTTAAGAATGTATTTAGTTTGTTATTCAATGTTAGATATATATGTTAAAATTTTGGATATGAGATTAAAAATTAAATGATGTGCCATTGTCAGAGGATATAACACATAAAATAATCCTGAGAAACTTTCTTTATATTGGTGAACATATGGGATGATTCGGGTGACCCAGAAGAGTACCTGGTGTGAGTTATTCAATGTTAGATATATATGTTAAAATTTTGGATATGAGATTAAAAATTAAATGATGTGCCATTGTCAGAGGATATAACACATAAAATAATCCTGAGAAACTTTCTTTATATTGGTGAACATATGGGATGATTCGGGTGACCCAGAAGAGTACCTGGTGTGGCTCTTTTCAGTTTAAGTTATGCCCACAGTACAGAGAGCATGAGAGGAAGGGCAGAAGATATGGCTGGCAAGGATATTTCCAACCTCTAAAGAGCTTGAATGCCGGGGCCTTTGGGTTTTGTTCTCCAGGAAAAAAGAAACCTCATAAGGTTTTAAAGAGAAGTCAAGACGGTGACACAGGGAGAGATGTTTGAGAAGATGTCAGCCATCACGATAGCCCAAATGGGAGATGATGGGGCTCCGAACTAACGCACGAGCAATGGGTATTTCTCAGACGTATGCTGATGAGGGTCCTTCCCAAGAAGGAACTGAGAGGCTTGGGTATTTTTTGATGCTGGTGTAAGAGGAGAAAATCTTGGTATAATGCAGTATCTGGAACAAGAAATGCTGGTGATAAAACTGGGGTTGTTTTGTTTTTCAATTAAAAACTTTTGTATGGAGTGTCTGGAGGAAAGAGAAAATAAATCTAATTTCAAAATGTTAAATCTGACAAAACTGACTGATAGGAAATTCAGGCATGAGCCTCAGAGGGTCAGCTGAGGCTGGAAGTAAGAATCTGAGAGTGACATGACATCTGAGCCACGCCTGTCATGGCATCGCCGGGTGAAGAGTGCGGCCGCCTGACCGAAGGGGAATACGTGTCCAAGGGGATTAAGGAAAAACGTTTGTTTGTTTTAATCAGTAGAACCCACTTGCAAATAAAGGGATGGTTTCAAAGATGTTCTGAGTTGTTCTAGATGTAGATAGGAAAAAATGAAAGCAAAACTCGAGAAACAAAAATATTATATTAGGAAAAAATATTTCTTGTTACTAAAATATATTAAAATTTAATATTAAAGATACCAGTTTAGAATGATACAGAGAAGATTAGCGTGGCCCCTGTGCAAGGATGACATGTAAATTTATGAAGTGTTCCATATTTTTGTGAAACCATAAGATTTTATATTAGCGATATACCTTAATAAAAATAAGTTAATGAAATAAGTATTTTTTGCCCCCAAAAAAGATACAAATTTAGTATTTCTTTGTTAAAACTGTTATTTCAGAGGTGAAAAATACTGTGACACATATACAGAATCATTGACAAAATTTTGTATCTGCCATCAGATTTGAGAACCTCAAAGAACATTGCTTTTAAATTTCCATTTTGGTCGTATTAACAAAGGAACTCAAATTTGAGTGCTAGAAACCTATAGAAAAATTTATTTTTTATATTTGATTTTTGGGTGAATATGTAAATGGCAGAGTGCAACATTAAAGTTGCAATTTAAAAATGATAAGTCTCTACTACTTCATTTTTAGCAATCAAACAGTGGCCATTGGAAAGAACTTTAAAGTAGATGGCTTTGCAGTGAACTTGTTGGATGGGGACCATGTTTATTGTGTATTTTTCTTTAAGCCAATAGTTCTCAAGCCATTACTGTTTGTAAAGGCATGTGAGTGTGTGTGTATAAATACTGCTGCAAATAGAGTTTGTTAACATGCACCTGTTCTTTGAAGAGTTTGAAGAGTTTGATGAAACTCTAGGAATAGCTGTGATTTTGGTTTCAGAAACAAACTAATCTAGCTTCTCTGTTATTTCCAATTTAGTCATTAGGCTATGAGGATTTAGTCAAAACATGTCTTTCCTAATTATCTCAGTGGGTTTGGGACCATATTTGCAAAAAATGATTTTCTGTGTTGGCTTCCTAATAATTTGCATACCAACAAGTGGAGGAGACTGGATGGAATGCTCCTAAGTGTCTGAAGGAAATGAGTTCCTGAGTGTTATGTATGTGAGTGTGTGTGGTGGGGAGGGCCTTCATAATCACTTCTCATCACCCCAAGCAATCAGCACACTTACTGTAAGTGCAGACTGTTTTCTTCTTAGCTGGAAAGCAGTTTAAATGGTAGCTCTGGTTGTCTCAGACCTTCTGTAAACTTCCCTGGAAATCCTTAGCAATGTACTTAGTTCTGGAACACTTGCTATCAAGTGGAAGGAGAGACGCTTTTAGAAGGTAGAGATGATTTTCAGTAGTTTCTGTGTGAAATAAATTGCAGTCCCTCACTCCATCTGTACTAATAAATCAAAAGAGAAATTCAGAGCAGTAACTTAAGTAATGATGCTTCTGTCATATAGACCACAAAGGACATGTAGGAGAAATCATCAGGTCTTACAGAATGTTCAGGGCACTTGACATCCGAGTTATCTGTGCTTCGAGTTTTGCAGCAATAAGCTTGTTTGAGGTCTGCACGAGTTCCCTTACCTTAAAAGGGTGGCTCACTAGTGCCCTGACTGTGTCACTGATGGACTCAAAATGTAATTGGATATCAATACAGCCAGGCTTTGCAAATTCCACTCGCTATGACAGTATAAAGTAAAAGGCAAACAGGAGGAAGGTGTCTGGATTATTGAATCTAGCTGTAAATCTTATTGAGATTTTCTGCTTATAGACCGAGAAAACTTAATGGAAATAAACAGTGTATTTAATAGATGGTAGAAGATATAAAGTCTAAAAAAAGTGGAATTCTTGGGACATACAGTAAAGGCAATGTAGTGTTTTCTCTGTCAGTTTTTTGAAACCTGTTGTTTAAAAATTGGGTGGAATCAATTCAATTTCAGTTTTTAAAAAATATCTAAGGTACTGAGTATAGGATTCCTTAGGCATCTGCCGTTAGGTAGGAATTCAGCCTGTTGGCCCCATAGCAGATTAGGTTCAGCAAACTCGTTTGTGCCTGTCTGGTCCCCACAGGTAAGAACCCTTTGTCTCAAGCAGCGTGTCAATGCAATGTTACAGGTAGACAATGTTTGCTTTTCCAAACCATTCTCAATCTTGCCCTCCCTCTGTAAGTAATCGCCCATCCTACCATAAGCCCATTAAAAAAAATATTTAATGCATACTTATATAATCAAGGGTATGCTTATTGATAAGGCCAGAGCCCAGCTCTAGCAGTCACTGTTTCTTTAACCTGTTGTGTATTTGTAATCAAAGAATCCGAATTGAAACAATCCCATTACCCAGTGCTCATATTCAATCACTGAGGCTCTCACTTTTCAAAAATTTGTAGTATGTTCCATAAAAGCTGGGATAGGATTTTGTTGTTGGGCTCTTTTTTGGGTGAATAAAATTTATCTTATTGGCTAGAGATGCAGTCTTGTAACATATTAATATTATCCTCTTTCGAAAATAATCTTCATAGCAATCCAGAGGGCATTCTGTCTTACTGAGAACCTTGGGGATTCGTGATTATTACACGTTGCTTATGGAGTAAAATGTGACTCCAGCGAATATTTATTCTTCATGTCATTAAAATCTGTGCTTCTTTGAAACCAATAATAGTAAGCATACAAGAAAAAAACATGAATTAACTTTACGGTAAACTTCTGCCCAAAAGATACTACAGACCAGATTTTATAGGGATCGCCATATATTTTATTTCTCAACATATAGTGGACTGCCAAGAACATTAATAATGCACATCTGTGTTTGAATACAAATGACTCCCTATAAGACCTGTTTTGATTATTTAATGGAATTACCTATCTGCATACTCAGTGCAGTTTACTGTGGTTTGGAATAGCAGTTAATAATGGAAGACTGAGGCAAATTTTAAAAATAGCATGTTTAATAATACAAATTAGTTCTATTACACAAAGAATCAAAGAGAAGATATTATGGACACAATACCTTCTCCCTTCTCTCTTTTTACTCATCACTAAGACACTCTTCTCCTATGAGAGTATTTTTTGTCATTTCCCCAAACACAGAAAAATAGACTGGTATGTTCAGAAGATCCACCGATTTTCCCAAACTACAAATTCAAATCTTATGTTGTCCAGGTTACTTTCAATCAAGAAACTGGGAAGTCACACTGTGGAATTGTGTGAGGCCAGCCCCTTCCCAAAATTGCTTTGAAGTATAGAATATTCTGCCCTCTTTCAGACTTCCAGGGGCTGTGTATCTTTTACAGAGAAAAATGGTCCACAGCCCAGTGGTTTTCTTAATACTTCAGATGTGGGGATTTTGTGAGCGTGGAGTGAAGCAAAGCTGAACTGCCAGTCTGGGTGAGGAGCACGGGCCTGGGGTAAGGGTGTATCTCTGCGCCCCGCCCCATCATATCAGGACGCCCTGAGGCATCTCCCCCAGAAGTCTCATAGTCCACGAGAGTAGTTTGAAATCTACTACTTTGTGGGAAATAGAAGTTGTATGCCTGAAAAAGAATTAACTCATGTAAATATCACAGATTTCACCTGTCAGTCTTCTGATGAGCTTTGCTCATTTAATAAGCTTGAACTGATGAATGTATGACATGTCTGTATTAAAGAGAAATATAGATGTATCATGTGCACATATGTGTATATATAACACAAATGATGTGAGAGGCACATACATACGAGTATATATAACAGAAATGATGTGAGTGAGAGCCTCTGTCCCAGGCAGGGAGCTGGTACTCCTGGAGGGGAGCCGTTTGTACCTTTATAACAGCCTGGGCCCTGCATGGGGTGTAGTCATCATTGCCTGGCATTTCCACTCACCTGGACATCGTAACATCATAGGAAGACAGCGGTTACAGATTCTGAGATTCTAATAATTGCTATGTTTCTGTGCCACTAATAGTACTTTTTAAAATGATTTTTGTTCATAGGCGCAGTAGACCTTAGACCTGCATTTTGTGGCACAAAACTTCCAGCACCAGGAGTCCTAGAAATATTGTGCTCAGTCTTAGATTTTATTTAAGCTCCCTTACTATCTGTGATATAAAATTTCACCATAATACCAAAAAGTCTCCACATATATTGTTCTGTCCTAATATCAGTAGTGAATTTGTTGATCTTTTTAGAGAGCCACAGCTGAAAACCCACCTTTTTGAGTACTTTGTCCTAGCAAAGAGTGACTCTCAGAATTTACAGAAGAATCTAGAACGTGCTGACTTCCCAGCCGACAGCAAAGCCAGTGATATCAGCAAAATTTAGTTCTATCGGGGTCCCTTCTTCAGTGCAGTTTTTCCCAGGAAAACTATTACCCTAAAGTAATTTACTCTCCCAGGGATTTCTATGGGTTAAATGGCAGAAAGGCATTACAGTCAGACGTTCTAGTTCATATCCCAGTTGAGGTTACTTCATGTATATGTTTTTTAAGATGATGCTGGGAAAATTCTTTTCTTATTTTTAGTTCAATTTGCTTTGAGAAATTTTGCTGTTTACTTCATAATCTTACTCACCTAGAAATGATAAACTGAGAATCTCATAGGTTATGTGTCTAAGGTCTGCTGCTGAATGTAATGGGCAGAGTTGAATAGGTCAGAAGGGCAAAATCATAGCTACATAGTTCTCGGCTGTGATTTCATTACACGAAAGATGAGGACATTTCTGAATAAACAGTACTACTGGGTCCACAAGCAAGCTGAATCCGTGTTTCTTTTTTCTGGTGCTTGATACCACAGAAAGATGTATTTGGAAGTTACTTGTTTCCCTAAACATGTACTCCAAGAGCTGCAAAACACTTCTGGTTATGGCAAAAACATTCCTAAGAATTCCCTAGAAATCTGTTTATAATTCCCTAACAAAAAGGAAAGGAATAAGATGAACACTGCAGTGAGCAAGTGAAGTCATGTATGTTGTATATATTTTAGACATTATAAACTCTCAACTGAAGGGAAATACATTCAATTTGTTTTACTACTGTAAATAGACACTATTTATTGCAAATTTTCATTTCAATGTTCTTACAACTCCACACGGTTACAAGTTTTAAAGCCCAGTTTTTAGACCCCAGTGCAGCTCTGGAAAGGAAACCCCGAGCCGGAAGGCCTGAGCTCACTCAGGTGCCGGGAAGGGCCTACTCTGGGGTCTGTGTGCACTAAGCTCCGCTGTGACTAAAATAAAATAATACATATAAAATAAAAAGAGAAAGGGGGAGATAGGCAGAAGGGAGGGGAGAAAACGAGGGCAAAAGAGAGCAGGTTGCAAAAAGAGATTTCAAGAAAGTCAACTTCTGCAAATGTAATTTTGTGAATTGTAATTTTTCATGTAACTTTTTAAAGCCTAGCTAGTTCTTATTTAAAACAATTTTTAACATGAAAGTCACCTTCCCAGCAATCTCTAAGTCTACGTTACGGTACAGTATTGTCAACCACATACTCCATTATGCACGACTCCCCAGCGCCACACCACACCTCCTGCCAGGCTAAATGCTGTGCCCCTTGGGCAGCTGCCCACCTTGCTGTCCCCCAGTCCCTCATGACCACCATTCTCCTCTCTGTGTCTGTGTGTTCAGCTGCCTTAGATGTGTCACCACAGTATTTGACTTCCTGTGATGTCCTCAAGGTTCATCCACACTGTGGGAAGTAACAGGATTTCTTTCTTTTCTGCATAATAATAAGGCTGAATAATATTCCACTGTATTTATATGCCAATATTTTTTGTCTGCCCATCTGTCAGTGGACACTTAGGTGGCTTCCACCTCTTGGCTGCTGTGCACAGCTCACTTCGTGTAATTTTAATTCAGTTGCAAACTGTCAGTCGCTCTGTCTCCAGTCCGTCTCACACCGTTGCTCTGCTTTCCTCTTCTTAGTTCTTAGCAGCGCTGTTGAAAACATGCTTGTGTGCTGGCTGAGTGATTATATATGTCTACCTAGGCAGGCACGCAGGTGGCAGTAAGCGGGTCCTGTGCAAGAAGCAGCACAGGCGTGATGAAGGCATGCCGTTGTCCTTGCAGGACGAGTCTGCACCAGCCGACAAGCCATGCAAACCGGAGGCGGCGCCGGCCACGTGCTCACCCGCAGCAGCGTCGGGCCCACAGGAGGTGCTGTACATCAACGGGAACGGGACCTACAGCCACCACAGTTACCGAGGGCTGGGAGGGGGCCTGCTGAGTCTGAACGACGCCTCCAGTAGCGGTGAGTCTCCGTTCTGCTTCGTGCTTTTTGTGTCCATTTGAGGGTTGTCAACTCTCCAAAGCTGAGAGGAGAAAATGAATATACTGTTAAAAGCAATAGTCAGGGCCCATCTGCTAAAAACACAACTGTTAATATGGAACGTCCAGCTCCGCACAAGGATACCTCTTGAAAGCAACAGCTCCGTTACAATGATGGCTATTTTATACTAAAAAAAAAACCTCAACTAGAGAAACAGCAAATGCCTGCACGTTCTTCCCCTCCCCCCACCAGTCATAATGGTCTATTCTTCAAGAATAATGACACATTCAGTATTCAAAGGAGTTTTTAATTGGAAATTCCAGGCACCAGAAATTTTATTAACTTGAAACATACACAGTCGTTATATCTGAGAACATAAAAACTGAACACATAGAAACAACCTGTGGCCCTCCAGCCAGTAGGTTGTCAGAAACTGGCTCCCCAGTAGTGAGCTGTGTGCTGGAGCTCATATAGGCTTGTGCTTGGTCAGTTTTTAGGAATTTCATGAGTTTGTATACCAGAATGAATTCCAAATGTATAATATAAAACCATATATGTATTAGGAATAAAATTTCTTGTAACTGGGTTGTAGGAAAAGCTTTCCTACACTAGACTTAAAATTCATGGGAAAACAAGTTTCATCTCACACACACACATATAACTTTTACATGATGAAAAACTCAATTAACAAGGTAAAAAATAATAAATTTGAAAAGTTATTAGCTATCTATACTGCAAAGAGTTAATACACCAATACATAAAGGTCTTCTGAAAAGAAAGATTTTTCAAAGTTGTATATTAAAAAAGTAAAGCTAGAAATATAAACACACACTTCTCAGAGAAAGGAATGCAAGTGTCCCTTAAATATAGGTAAAGTTACTCAGCCCCACTCACTCCTAATAAGACAAGTACAGCTTCTACCCATCAGATTAGCAAAAGTCTAAATAGATACACACTGTTCTTTCAACCAGGCTGTGGGGCACGTGAGTGCTCTCATGCATTATAGAAATGCAAAAAGTTGGGGTGGAGTTTGCCAGTACTACAAAATTAAATGTGCATTTACCATTGTACCCAGCAATCTCTTTAGTAACCTCTTACTATGAATTTATCTCACAGACACACTGGCAAAAATACAAAAAGACATATGCACAAGGCTATTCATTGCAGTGTTATTTATAAATCCATAAAAATGAGGTTACCAAGAAAAATGCCCATCAGCAGATGGCTGGTTGACTCATTTATGGTGCATTCAAGCAAGAGAGTAACATGCAGCTATAAAAAGTAATGGAAATATCTTTATGTATTCTGAGTGGTGAAAAGAATTTATAGTGTTCGACATTCACTGAAGAAAGATTCATGTAATTTTTTCTTGAAGTTTACATAGAGGCAGGGAAGGGAGAACAGTGTGGAAAAGGGAATGTAAGCCAGAATCCTCTGCACATACTTGTTGTTTATACTTCATCAATTTCACTTTGGAATAATGTACATATTTACATAATTATGTAATTGTTTTTAAGAATTGTTTTTAAGAATCACTAATTTTGAAAGAAAAGTAATGCAAATGACTTTATCTGTTCAATGAGTGATTGGCATAGCCTCATATGGAGGAATTCTCCCAAGTGATCTCAAAAATCGTGATTTGACTCCACAGCAGGCAAGCCTATTATAAAACCTGGAACTACTGTCAGTAACCGTATTATTATTTTGGGCCTGTTGTCTGTGTTTTGCGGTTTAAAGCAAATTTGTAACTGGGTTGGTTTCAGTGGAATATAGGGGGCGAAGCACATACAGATGTAAAATTAATAAGTTTAGGCAAAATCTCCACTATCTAATATTGGAATTGGTAGTGTCAGTGAGAAATAGCTTATTTTTTGTTTGAAAAAAACGTATTTCCTATCTTTTTCCACTGAAGATGCCTGGAAACAATGACCAGTTTGAAAATTTGAATTAGGTTTGCTGGCTTTTAATATTTGGGGGAGGAGACTGTATTATCATTGTCAAATGAGTGTACACTCTAAAAATTCACTCTCCTTTACAGTCCTGGAAATATGCTCTCATGTGTTCAGGAATTCTGCCTTAAAGCTGGGCCTGGAAAGGCCCTCTAAGCTCTAGTCCTTACCAGTTGCCTTCCAACTCAAAAGCCCTGTGCCTCAGTGGAAGGCAAGAGAGAATGCAGCTGACTGTGGGACAAAATGAAGTTTCAAGGGTATATTCAGGTTTTCAAAAGCTGGTGAACCTTCTCAGCTGTTTTCAAATCTTATTTTTATTTGGACAGTGACTGAGCAGGAAAGAGCAAGTCCAAGACCAGAAAAAGAAGCATAAACCAAAGCCAAGCCTTCTTCCAGTCTGCAAAGCTGGAAACTCCAGCACTTCCTTCTTTAGTAGTTTACATAAATGAGAGCAGAGAGGTTGTTCTGAACCTCGCTACTAAATCAAAAAATATGGGGAAAAATGTATTCAGTAAAGACTATTGACACACTCTTCATTTTCTAGATTTTAAAAGTCATTCATTTGTTAAATTTATTTAACGTCAACTAATAAAATGCCAACCCCTTACTGAGTCCTTACGGTACTTCAGCACAGTCTCCATTTAGTTGTCATACAGTCCTATGAGGCTGCACTTTGAGAGGAACTTTTTATAAAATTGAACATGCCCCTACTTCAAAAAATAATGCTAAGACAGCATTTTCTTTTTTCTAACATGATTGAAACCTATTTTGTGAGGATCAGAGAGGTTGAGTGACTTGCTCCAAATCCCTCATTAAGAAGGGAGGAGGCAGGATTTGAACACCGGCATCTGGCATCAGAGGCCACATTGTAAACCACTGTTAGGGAAGCAACTACTCAAGGAAGGAGTGGCTCCTGGTCAGCACTAATATGATTTGTCTCCTCTTCTGAGCATTTCACATAAATGAATGAATCACACAGTATGTGGTCTTTCATGCTGACTTCTTTCATGTAACATGCTTTCAAGGTCTACGGTATAGCAGTCTTTATTTTTGCCAAATAATGTCCTGTACTATGGGTGCGCCATTGGTTTTAGCTCTTCATCATTAGCTGGGCACTTGGGCCGCCCTTTTGATTTACTATGGATAACGCTGCTGGAAACACGCACAAGTTTACGTACATATATTATCTGTTATTTGGGATATATGCCTCAGAGTAGAGTTGGTTCATACATATAATTCTATGTTTAACATTTTGAGAAAATAGGCTGAATATGGGATGTCTTTCTATTTAATTCACTCTCTCTAAATTTCTCTCAACCATGTCTTATATTTATAATACAAGTGTTTCACTTCTGTTAAATTTATTGCCAAGTATTTCCCTTGTGATGCTATATAGATGGAATATTTTCCTTAGAATATTCTGTATTTTTCCATTAGCAGGAAGAGGTGAGGTAGTGGTATTAATCCTTTAAATGTTCAGTAGAGTTCAGGAGTGATGTGTGTACCTGGCTTTTCTTGTAGGTTTTTGGTCACTAACTCAACCTCTAATTTGTTACAAGTTTACTCATATTGTCTTTCTTTTGGAGGCAGGTTAGGTAGTTTGTGTATTTCCAGGAATTTGACCTTTTTAATTGAGTTGTCTTATTTATTGACATAATTGTTGACAGTACTCCTTCATAATCCTTATTTTCAGAAGGTTCAGTGATGTCCCCGCTGTCATTTCTGATCCTAGTCACTTGAGTTGTGTCCCCTTTCTTGGTGATTCTGGCTAAATGTTTGTCAGTTTTCTTGATCCCTTCAAAGAACAAGCTTTTGGGTAGTTGATTTTTCTCTGTTCTTTTTCTATTCTCTATTTCATTGATTTTTACTCCTGTATTTATTATTTCCCTCATTTTGCTTAGATTAAGTTTAGTTCACTCTTATTTTCTTGTCTTAAGCTGAAAAGTTAAAACATTTATTTGAAGTATTTTTTTAAATCTTCACATATAGGCATTCACAGCTGTAAATTTCCTAAGAATGGCTTTATTTGCATCCCATAATGTGTTTTTGTGTTGGTTCATCTCCAAGTGTTCTGTAATTTCTCCCATCCTTTCTTCTTTGGGAAGAGGAGGAGGATGTCACATATGAGTGTGTTTAATTGCCACGTATTGGTGAATTTCCCAAATTCTTTCTGTAATGATTTCTAACTTTATTCCATGTGGTCAGACAACATACTTCATATAATTTCAACTCTTTCAAGTTCACGTTTTTGCTCATGAGATTCTTTTATGACCCGGGTTGCAGGCTGTCGGAGGGCATCCCGCATGTAACCTGCTGCAGGTGGGTTACGTGAGTGGTGAGTGAGGCCGAGCTGACGGACGGTGGCGTTCAGTTTCCGTGTTCTTGTGGACCGTCTGCCCCATCTCCTTACCCGTTACTGAAAGAAGCTTCCTGAAGTCTCCAACTCCTGCTGCTGAATCGTTTGCTTTGCCCGTCGTTCCGCCAGTTCCGCTGCCTTTACTTTGGGAGCTCCGTTGTCAGGGACGCATACCATTTGTGGTCTTACATCTTCTTGATGGATTGACTCTTATCATCGTAAAATGTCCCTCTTTATAACAACATTTTTAAAGTCTGTTTTGCTTAGTAGTAGTTACTTCCATAATATCAGAAAAAGGCCATGTAAGCTGGCTTATTGTGGTGGTTGTACTGAAAATGAAGAGAAGTGGGCAGAGCTTTGGGTGTGGAAGTGCCTCAGAAGAACACAGAGCAGGCTGAGCACTGCTTACCTCAGACACAACCAGAGCAACTCACCTTTCCGGAAATGGCTGAGTTAAGTCTGGGAGCCCAGTGCCAAGTGAGAATATGGAGCCCCTTGTTCAAAAATTAAGATTTCAAGACAGTGACAACAAAATCGCCTGCAACTCCTCTTAGCACAGGATCCTGGAGGACGACACAGTTCATGTCATCGAGTTGGAGAAATGACTGTGTTTCCATGAAAGAGGCGAGAGGAAGGGTACTCACACAAAGAAGGAAAGATCAGAGACGGGCTAGGCTATTTCGAGAGAGTATTTTGAGGAGAGGAGAGAACTTTGGGG